TAGGAAGATGAATTTATCTACTGAATGGCAAATGATCAATGCAGATTAAGTCAGATATACTTGATGGCATTCATAGTTTTATTTTTGGTCCTTAAAATGAAATGTGTCTACTGCATGGCTTTTCTCCTCCATTAACCGAGGTTCATGCACACAGACCTCTGAGGGCGCTTCACATTCTCCAGTGAGCACTCTCCATGTGAGAGTTCAGCAGGCAGAAGTGGAGCTGTGCTGCCAAGGACCTTATTTAAGCGTTGTTTTTAACTTCGAGTAAGTTCCCTTGAGATGTGCAGGCTTCAAACAGTTTGTTCTCCAGCAAGTTTTTCTCATCCTACATATGTTGTAAGATGAAGCAACCTACTGCTTTTAAATGCCAGTGATTGGATTCCCTTCCAATAAGGAAAATTACTAATAGTGGTGGGTTGAACATAATTAAAAAGGATCACAACTTTCTCTTTTTTTAGAGTCTATGAATTATGACAAGATTCTGGTCCTTCTGAGACCCAGTTTCCTCTTCTGTAAGATATTAGTCATGCTACTTACCGCACTCAAGCTTATTTCAGGAGGGACTCACAAGATCGTTTCTATGTGCCTCGTGCTGTGTACACGCATAGATGTAAACGGCAGTGTGCCCTTTCGTATTTCTCAGTCATCCAAATCACTTTTTCTTCTGTGGTGGGAATAATGTTTGTCTTTGTTTATAAGGAAAGCAAGACATTTTTGATAGAGCTATCTGCATTAACAATGAGATAAATAAATTTTAGATGTTTATAAAACAAGCAACTAATATGTTGCTCCTGGAAAAATTGGACTCAATTTGAAGTATTTGTAAATTTACCTGAGTGCACATGTACATTTAATGATCATTTATGCCTCATTCCAAGGAGATAAATATAGATTGCACAATTTTCCTGGTTAGAAAACTGAGGCTCTAAAAAGATGGGCTACTTGCTCAAGTTGCTCACAGCCAATACAAGTAGACCTGAGATCCTGCTCCTCTCATCTGTAGTCTTAAAATGCTTTTTAGCAGGGCATCATGCAGACAGGGATATCATCGCTGTCCTAATCTTTTTTATTTTATTTTATTGTTTTATTTGTGTGTGTGTGTGTGTGTGTGTGTGTGTGTGTGTGTGTGTACAGGGTCTTACTACACAGCTTGGACTCATAGTGGTCTCCTGTTTTCAGCCTGGGAGTACAGGTGTGCGCCACTGGGCCCGGACTCCATCTCCAGCTCAGCGTGCTTGGAGGGGCAGGGCCGGCATGGCATGCAGTGCCAAGGAACAAGCCCTGGTGCCTAAGGAAGTGCTTAGTCTGCTGAGCTATCTCACTGGCCACATCCTTATCTTTGAAATATCATTTCCAGTAGTTTTCTATACAACAGGACAGCTTTATACGCCTAATTTACCTGTGACATCTAATGACTTTATCCTCCTTTTAAATAAAGATGATTTACTCCCAGCAATAAGGTGAGGAAAGATAATGTCAGCAAAGGAAGCGCAGTAGGGAATACTCATGTATGTGCCTGCCCCAAGGCTTAAAGCCCAGAGTTCTCAGCTGAGTTAGTGTAAATCAGAATAGAATGGAAATATGAACATCAATGTGCAGCATCTGCTAATTTTCACCTTATTGGAGATAAAGTTACATGAGTATTTTGCTCCTTAAAAATGCTTTTCAAGAAAGTCTAGATAGATCCCAAACAAGTGACTTACCCAAGAAATCATAGCAAGATGTCTTCATAGACAAAGTGTCTCATTCTAGGAAGATAGTAATGTTGCAAAATTTAGTATCTGCACTATTCAAGGTTGTATTTTTTTCACACTTCACCTACAAGTTGTGCATCATGGAATCCTGAGATTTTTGGTTTTTAAGTTAGATTTGCTCTGGATTGGACTTTTAAATCTGTCTTGCTTGCACTGTGCTAGCTTTATGTGTTCCTTGATCTTTAGGAGGAATTATTTTAAAATGTCTTAAATGCCATTACTTTTTAATCTTAAATTACTTTATCATCCGTATCAAATAAGGACTTTCAGAACTCAATCTACAATAAAATTATCCTACCTTCTAAGATAAGCAAAGTATTAAATTTATTATACCCTTGATTTTTCAAAATTGCCTATCCAATGGTTATATTGAAAGAAAAGTAGAATATACCTTCTCTTTTCTCTGCTACAGTGCTCAGCACATTGTATGAGGAAATAATTACATATAAAATTTTATGTAGCGCAAAGCATCTTTATTTAATTCTAATAGCATCTTTTTGAAGTAGAGCAAGTATTAGTATCTCAATTTTGGAGGGGGTGAAAATAAAGGCAAAGAGCACAGATAAGTCATGTTAGACCACTGTACCCTGTGTTTTCCATTATCAAGACCAGCAATGTTTGTGTTTGAAATTTTGATTAACTTGCTTCGAAATTTAAGGTTTCAAGGGCAATGTTGGTAAACTAGTTAGTCAAACAGCAGAGACAATGGGATATACTTGTCAAGATACAACTCACCTTTACTGTTCATTACTGTTTCTCTGATTTTAAGGACAGAAGCCCTAGTGACACGGGTCATCCATGGATGGCACTAAGCTTTCAGACTCTAGGCATGTTTTCAGGGTGGGTTTCAGAGTTTCCAAGGTTCGTTGCTTAAACACTCAGTAACTTTATCCAATAGTCCAAAAAGTATGTGTCTTCTGGGTCACTTTGTTGGCCTTAGGCTAGCTGAGGTCACCCAGCTCTGGGCTGCTGAGTGCCTCTTGGTCCTAGGGTCTTTCGCCTGTGCTTCTCCTGGTTGGTTACAAGTGAGATTTTCATTTACCTCACTCAAGATAAGATTGCTGGTGTTCAGGATATCCAGAGAGTGTTTGTCTTCATCAAAGTAACTCAGCACAGACACAAGAAAAGACAGCATTTCTGCTATGACTTCTATGAATTGCGTTCATTTCATTAATCAAGAATTGCTTTTGCAGGAATTCTTCCCTGGAAGATGAGAACATACAAAAGCCACAAATGTCACTTGATGCAACTGACACTAAAAAAGGTAAAAGCATAAAGTCTCATTTGTTTCAACATCAGAGTAACTATTTCCTGGCCCAAAGACAGAAAGATGTTTGTGTTCCTTAGCAATCAAAAGTGAAATTAGGTAAAGAAATGCCATTTTATTTCAAAATCAGCAGTTTCTTCTTGAAGCTAATAGAGTTGAAAGAAGTATACAGAAATAAGTTTTCTCAAAAAGCTATTGCAGGGCCTCAGTAGAATAAGTGCTTGCCTGGCAAGCGCAAGGTCCTGAGTTCAATCCCCGGTACCACAAAAACAAACAAACAAAAAATGCAGGTAAAACTAGAATGTTAACAAAAGCTCACTTTAATAGCATACAAATTGTTCATAAAAACCAGAAATTCTACTGCTATTCATTTCAAGGAAACAATTAGGAATGTATAAAACTGAAAATAAATAAAAAATATTAGAAGCTAACACTATTACCATAAGAGTAGTTTGGATAAATTTATGAAGTTATATTCAATGAAAATTTAAGGTCATTTCAACATAATGGAAAATATTTATGTCATGATAGACATTTAGTGTATATTGTTCAATGTCACAATTGGCTATTAATGACATGAATCTCAAGCAAAATTAATGTTGACTTCAATCTTTTTTTGTTTGTTTGTTTGTTTGTTTTGCGGAACCAAGGATTGAAGTCAGGCCCTTGAATTTGCCAGGCAAGAACTTATTCTACTGAGTCATCTCCCCGACCCCTCAATCTTTTGTCTTTTTCTCTTCTAAAGAATATCTGAAAATTTTCCATAAAATATGTATAATCTAAACAAAATACTAAAAGATGTTCCCACTCATATTCTGTACTTTATTTTTTTATTTTGTACATAATATTTTTTTCATAATTTTATTGAGAAACAAATAGCAATGAGACAGTTTCAAATCAAATTGGTAGGACAGTTTCAATAATAACACATTGCATACATTCTTCCTAGTGGTTAATTGCTATACAAGATGTGGACTTGATATCCTATTTACAAACACCAAAAATTGAAAGCTCTTCCTATTACAGACCAGAATTTACTCCAGCAGCTGTCCTGAGTGTGTGTGCCCTAGCCCTGGTCAATAGCAATAGTATCACCTGAAGGTTAGAGGTTCAGGATCTTCTAAAACAGGATCTCAGCATTAGGGCCAGTTATCTGCATTTTATCAAGCCTTTGAGGTGAGTCTCAAGCATGCTAGAGTGTGAGGACCACAACATGTCTATGGAAGGAGAAGCAGTGAACACTGAAAGATGAACGTGTGCTATGGCTGCCTTTTTCATTCCTATCATTTTTACCTTTATATTAATTATTTAAAATAATATGCATATTTGTACTTATTCATTCACTTCATAAATACCTATTAAAGAATTTTCTAGATAGATATTTGATTAGTATGGGGTAAGAAGTGGAACCAACTAGATACAGTTTTTAAATTCTAATGGTTTGGGAAATTAAATTCCTCGGATCACACAACTAGCAGAGAGTTCAGTAGATTACTTTCAGGCAAAGAATGGCATTTAGGCCACTAGTTTTCTTCCTTAATATGTTCCTGAGTGAAATAAGTATTCTTTTGAACTTTGAGTCAAATAACTGATTTTGTTGTGGTTATCAGCTTTACTTAGAAATGCTCACTGATGTAATGAGAGCAAAAGAAATAAAACATGCATTTTACTAAATTATTATTTGTTTAAAATAACAAAATATGTGTCTTCAAATCTTAATAGATTTTATTTTAAATTTATGTTTCTTTTAGCTGCAGGTCCACAAATTTTGAATGAAAATGAAGATATACAATGCAGTAATGGTGAGTTGAGATTAAAATTCAGCAATATAATCAAACATTCAGGTATAACCCTGCTTTTTAAAAAAATGCTGATTTTTGCATAATATAATTATCCTTAGGCTACTCCTTTTAAGCATATTTTTAAGAAGTTGCTTTTATGGTTGAGACAGTATCTGTCACTTTTGCATAAAAAGAATATTGTAAGTTATCTATCTTGGAACATTAACTAATGCTTGGATTTGTGTTTATTTATCAACAGTAATTTCTAAAGTTGTTTTCATGGCTCTGAGTGATTCTCAGACTTGACGGTCCCTCAAGGGGAAGAGTTTGGCTTAGCAGCCTGACACATCGATCTTCAGGGTTCTCACCCTTGATGCGATTTCTCTCTAGCCAGGTGATCGCTGTGTTGGACAGTGCTTGAGTGGAGTTATGTTGATAGTGCTACACTTGAGCCATTTTCAATTTATTTTGTTAAAATGCATGAATTTTTACCAAACTATAATAAATATATGTATATATAGTTTAAATAAACTTTAAATTAAAAAGACAAATTTTTCACTCTGATTGGTATTATCACAACAGTCATGCAAATGTATCTTTCAAGAAGCCTAACTCCTTTTTAAAAATCTCAAGGTTTTAAATGCCTGAGCTGGATCTTTTTTATTTATTTATTTTATGTATTTAGTACAGGGTCTACAGGCTCTCACTACACGATCGGACTCTTAGTGATCCTCCTGTTTTCAGCCTCCTAAGCGCTGGGATTGTAGGCGCATGCCACCACGTCCAGTCTCAATCGCCATCTCAGCATGCCCTGGGGGCGGGGCTGGCATGGCAAGCTGGGCCATGGAACCCCTAACCCCTGTATCTGCCTCAGCTGGTGCTTTAATCTGCTGAGTTATGTTGCTGGCCTTGACCTCAGCTGGATCTTGAAGCTGGGTCTTCAGGTTCTTTGTTCAATGCTCCTGAATTTTCTTAATATGCAGTAGTGTATGGTGCAAAAAATAAGATTTCTGTATAGTAGACTTTTTAGTCAATATGTATCTTTTATTTTGCTTTTTTTTTGTGGAGCTGGAGATTGAACTCAGGCCATTGTGCTTGCCAGGCAAGCGCTTATTCAACTGAGCTACCTCCCCAGCCCAGATTTGTTTCTGATTTATGTTCTCTGAAGAACATTTCTTGACAGGTAAGTGTATTGATAACAAATTCCCTGATAAAATCTTTATTTCTCCTTCACTTTTTTAGAAGGATAACTAGCTCAGGCTGTCATAAGGGCTGGTCTAGTGCAGCTTGTGGAGCTGGGGATTGAACCGCAGTGCCCTGCACCTGATTGAGTTTGCCCAAGCAGGCACTTCAAACAACTGAGCTAACCCACAAGCCCCCTCTCCTTTACTTTTGAAGGAAAATTTCTTTGGAACACAGAATTATAGGTTGCTATTGTTTTTGGTTTTTTCCTCTTAACATAAAACCATTTCACTTCTTCACAAGGGAGAGTGTAAGCTCTCCCTTGCACGGCTTTCAACATTTATTTCATCTTAGATTTTCTGGAATGTGAACATAATATATGTAAGTAGTGTGTGTGTGTGTGTGTGTGTGTGTGTGTGTGTTCACTGATTTTGCTTGGTGTTTTCTGCGTTTCCTAGATTTGTTGTGTGACATCTGACATTTATTTGGGGACACTTCTCATTGTTTCAAATATGTTTCGATTTTTTCTCCTGCTTGCTCCACTCACTACACATGGTTACACCTTCTGTAGATTTCCCACAGTTCCTG